GAATATTCGGAGAAATACCTATGTAATTTTCTTAAAAAAAAAAAAAATCAGTATTTTCTCTACAAAAAAACACAGGGGCTGGAGAGAGGACCCAGTGGTTAAGAGGACTGGCTGTTCTTCCAGGGGACCGAGTTTGGTTCCAGCACCCATCTGTGAGTCCGGTTCTAGGGCATCCAGTGTGCTCTCCTGACCTCCGCAGGTACCAGGCGTACACATGTGCACTTACATACGCAGGCAAAACACTCACACTCATAAAACAAAATAATTAAAAATCAGGGGCTGGAGAGATGGCTCAGCAGCTAAGAGCACCTGCTGCTCGTCCAGAAGACCTGGGTTCGATTCCCAGCACTGACATGGTGGCTCACATGGGTCTGTAATTGCAGTTCCAGAGGATCTGATGCCCTCATGTGTCCTCTGAGGGAACTGCATCCCTATGATGCACAGACATACAGGCAGGCAGATCACCCATACACAACAACTAAAAATAAAGCAGCATACAAGGCAGCCAGTTGGGTCTGTCTGCTCCTCCCGCCCCTCCTCCTTCCTCCCCAGCAGTCCCCTTCCTCCTTCATGTCCTCTACTCCTCCTCCCAGCCCCCTTGCTTAAAACATCCTGTTCCCCTCCCACAGTTCCCTTTTCAGTCTCATGACCCATACCTGCACTTACTTCCACAAAAATGAACACACATAAATATTAAAGGTCAGGACTCAAGTATATAACCAACTGCTGAGTGTAACCTCAAATTAATGTATTTGTGCACCCCTGCCCCCCAATATGAGCAATTTGCCAAATAGGGTCATCACATCAGCAAACACTTGTCCAGTTCACTGTTATCCAAGCTGCTACTTGGGAACCTCATTTTGTAGCAGCCTAGTGCTACCAAAACAAAGAATCAGCATCCACCAGGGGAAATTCCAGGTAATCATTATGGCAGGGACAATCTGAACTGGAGCTCCATGCAAACCTCAGACCCAAACTCCCAAACAGTCAGTAGTTTAAAAGTCTGGTATTCCTAGGGCTGGGTAGCATGGTGCACTCCTTTAGTCCCAGCACTCAGGAGACAGAGAAAGGCGGAGCTCTAGGAGTTTGAGGCCAGTCTGGTCTACAGAGTGAGTTCCAGGACAACCAAGGTCACAGAGAGAAACAATCTCAAAAAAACGAGAAAAAAAAAAAAAAGGAAAATACAGAAACCAGGAATGGGGCTAGGGTAAGGAATTGAAATGGAGGCTGGTGAGATGGCTCAGGGGTGAAGAAGCCCTTGCCATATACAGCCTGACAACCTGAGTTGTGGAGTGTGGAAGGAGAGAATTAACTCACACAACTGTTGTGTGAAAGTGTTCCCCACATAATACACACCCACCCACCCACGTCCACACACAAACTTTAAAAAGAAATCCAAATGAAGTGCAATGGCGGTCTCAATTAGACTGCAACAAAAGGTCAGGGATGTGATCTGCCAGGACCACCAGATTCAAGGACTGAGACAAAGGTGTGGCAGAGGCCTGCCACGGGGAAGTCACTTTTCTCCAGGGGAAAGAAAGGCTTTGAAGCAGCACTTAGCATACAAGGACGGCACATGCTTACTAGATGAAGCCTGAATTGTTCAAGCTGATGGCCAGATGACTCTCCAGAGTTCCAAAGGTATCCTCATGCAGGGTATAGTGGTGCACGCTACAATCCTGGTACAGGACAGCAGACACAGGAGGACCAGGAGTTCAAGGCCAGCTCTGGCTTTATAGCAAGTTCAAAACCACAGAGGCTACATGAGATTACATCTCAAAAAACGAAAACAAAAACAGCGAGAAAAAAAGTATTTCAAGGCTGTCAACAAGGCTCAGAGGGTAAAAGTCCTGCCACAAAGCTTGATGACCCGAGTTTGACCCCGGGACCTGCACAGCAGAAGGAGAGAAGTTACACCACAGGTTATTCTCTGTCCTCCACACACATCGTGCCTTGTAGGGCATATGCACACAAAAAGAAAAAAAAAAATGCAGCAACAAAAACCCCAAAGTATTTCAACCCCAAACTTGTATAATCCCCCCCTTTCCCTTTTTGTCTCACACAGGTCTTGCTATATACCCTTAGCTGGCCTGGTACTCATTTACATAGCTCAGTCTAGTCTCAAACTCATAGCAATTCTCCTGCCTCAGCCACCAGAGAACAGGATTATACATTTGCATCCTTATGCAGGTGTTAATCTGTTTTCCACACTAATATTAAACTCTCCTCCTAGAGGGGTTGGAGAAGTGACTCAGAGGCAGAGTATTTGCCAGGCATTCACAGGCCCTGGGTTCAACCTCCATAGTGCAGCAATGTAAAATTAAACAAACCTTTCACCCTGGAAACAAGTCCCATCTTCGTTGAGTGCTTAAGGAAGAAAGGAACCTAGGGATGCTATGGGCACTGAATGAAAGCAACAGAAACAGCTGGTGTGGTGGCCCAGGTCTAAGTCCCAGGACTGAGTTACTGAGGAAGTGAAAGCAGGGTCAGAAGTTCAAGGGAATCCTCGGCCATGTTAGAGGGCTGGAGGCCAGCCTGGGATATATGAGACCTGGTCTCAAAAGCAAACAAGAGTATTCAATAAAGTCCTATAAAGTACAGAATCATTTTTATGAAATGTCTTCAAAATATTCAAACTCAAAAGTCACTGGGGAGGCAGTATGTGTACAAGTGAGAAGTCGCTGACTCAACTGTGATCTTGAGTAAGTCACTTCTCTAAACCCGAGTTTGGGGTTCTGTAAAGTGTGTCTATAGTACTAACTCATGTCTATTCTGAAACCTACATGAATTAATATGGGTTATGGTACACAGAGCAGTTCCTGAGACTAAGAGTTTCCTATTATTATTGTGGAATGATAGCTGGGAAGATGAGATGATAATATGCATGAGGCCCTTTAAATAAGCAATGTAATATACATATCACATAGGACGAATTCTAGTTCCAAATATTTAACTGCCTATCAAGCTGAAGTGTGTAGAGCCAGCTAGCACGTTCTTTTTCTTTTTTTTAAGATTTATTTATTTATTATGTACACAGAAGAGGGCACCAGATCTCATTACAGATGGTCGTGAGCCACCATGTGCTCATTACAGATGGTTGCCACCAGTCAGTGCTCTTAACCTCTGAGCCATCTCTCCAGCCCCAGCTAGCACTTTCTAGGAAATATCTGTCACTAAACACATCCAAAGGAGGCTATAAGCTACAAGAACCTAGAAGGTGGGCTATAGAAATTGTTCTATCAAGTCAGAAACATGAAAAAGCAGTTTTGGATTAAAAGAGACTTCTTAGAAATAACCAGATATAATGGGAGATTCTGGATCCAGATATATTAAAAGACAATTTAAATGTGGATTGGGTTGTAGATAATAATATGAACCTTTAACTGTAAAAGTTATTTTGTTTATGCTATTCTAAAAGATACACACAATCAAGTAACAAATATGTATATAAATTAATTATATAAATCATGTAAACAAAAAGGCATTAGGTAAAAATTATTCAAAAATTTAAAAGAAATACGAATGAGGAAGTGAGAAAATATGTGTTAAAGAGTCAGGGTTGGAGCTGACAGTATGCAGTTCAGGGTAATGAAAATCATGGTCTGGATGAGATACAGTCACCCAGGAAAGTATGTAAGGCCGACAAAAAGATGCAACCTGAACAGGGAACACTACAGCCTGACACCGGAATCAGGACCCTTAACCATGGAAAAAGAACAACTGGCCAACAGGAAGTCAGGAGGTCAACGGCAATTCCGAAGCCAGTGGAGTTTCCAGGTAGATATGGCAGTTAACATCAGATCCCAGGTCTGAGGGTGTGGCTCGGCAGTAGAGCACCCTCCCCAACACGTACTAAAAGGCCATCAACTCTGTCCCCAGCACCAGAATCGACCCAACGTCCTCAAGCACCATGAAGCTAGCTCCAGACTGAAAGGAGACTAGCAAACCAAACAAGGTCACCGACGACTTGATTAGAGTGGTTCAGTCCTGACCGAAGACAGCAGCAGAAGTCAAGAGGAAGTACTGGAGTTAAGGAGTGGAGAGTGGAGAACCCAGGAGTTTCCCCGAGATACAAATCTACACAAAATAATATGCAATGTTCAGACAGCTTCCAGTAACTAAACAATACAGTAACAGGCAAAACAGGACGGAAGTACCAGGGGTCAGTAGCAGACTTGGAAACAAAGGATTATCTCTAGAATTTCAGGGAATGCTTATGCAGGAGAAGCACCTGCTAGTTCATCAACAACAGCCTCCAATTTAGAAGTCTACTTTCGTTCTTCACGCTGGTTTCCAAATGGGTTGATGCTGCAGCCTGACACACACTTTTCACTGTTGAGAAACGGGTCGTTTCCCTTAAAAGTTGGGTGGAAAACAGGGCCGGGGTGATGGCTCAGGGGGTAAGAGCACTTGCTCTGTGGGCAGGAGGACTTAAAAGTCTATAGGCATCTATGAAATTAACATATATAATATTAACAGTCACATTTCACTCCAAACATACGCTTACTAAATATTCTTTAAGGTGGATATAATTTTCAAATTCAGACAAAGCCTTTGCACTTGGAGGCAGAAGCAAGAGGATCAGGAGTTCAATGTCAGCCTACATAGAGAGTTTAAGTCCGGCCTGGGGCTATATAATGTGTGCTCTCAAAAACAAAAACACCAAAAAAAAAAAAAATCATTGAAAGTTGAGACTGACATTAGAGATCTGAAATGTAGGGTTTATATATATACCTGAAGATAACCTTAACTCTTGATCCACCTGTCTCTGTCTCTGTGTGCTAAGATTACAGGTATGTGCTACCACACCCAGTTTATGTAGGCAAGTACCCTACAAACAAAGCTACATCTTTAAGTAAGCCTCCAAACAGACCTTCAACTGCCTAAGACTCATATAAACTATACATTTAAATGAGTACACTGAGATTGAGTTCAGCAGTTTAAAATATATGTTTAAAACCAAAACTTCTGTTAGCTGTATCTGTAAAGTGTCTTCTTACCTGCGTGGCCTAGTCCTTGGGGACATCATTTCATTGCCAAGTATGTGGTACCGTCTTGCTTCGTGCAGCAACTGATAACACTCAGGGGAATTCTGGATCAACTGGTCCACCTCAACTGTCTGAACAAAGTAGTTGGGATGCAAGAGCGGGAGCCGGACATGTGTCAGGAGCTCATGCAACAGCGGCCTGCGGAGATCAACAGCTCGGTAGACCCAGCGCATGACGGCTTCAAAAACCATCTCCTCTTTACCAATAACAAGTTCATCGCTACAGATATAATCAATAAGTTCATCTTTGTCAAGCTCAAGAAACTCTTCATGCTGGGACACATCCTCAAAAGTCTGTAACGCAAAGGTCTTGCATTTTGTGAAGAGTGTTTTGAGTGAGTGGGTGTCAGCGAAGCGCTGGATTCCTAGGCAATTGCAAGGATCAAGCTGCTCCTCTAAGAACTTGGCACACGCATCCCGGAGAACACTAATCTGAAAGAGGCTGGAGGTTTCAAAGAGGTACTGGACATTCTCTGTTGTGATCTTCACCTTCCCAGTATAGACATACTGCAAGAAACATTCCATAGCTTCAGCTAAAATGCCGTTGATCTCAACCAGCATTTCTCGGCTCTCCCTGTGATCATTACAGAACATGGCTCTAAAGTAGCTGCTACAGGCTGAGAGGACAGCTCGATGACAAGGAAACTCCTTTCCTTCCACACAGATGATAACATCTGTGAATAAGCGGCTGTCTCGGAACTCATTAAATATCTGGAGTATGTTTTCAGCATGGGATGATCCTGAAGAGAAGTCAAAATACTCATGACCTGTCAGAGATTTGGGGTCCATTTCAAAAACCTTGCGCTTAGTTGCTGGGGAATCACGCACCCCAAGATCCTCTCTGTTTAGTCTGCGTCCCAATATTAGTACCATTGTTACATCAGTTGACTATATAATTGTTGAGAAATAGCTGCTAGGGATCTTCTTTATGTGTCTAAAGAAAAATAAAAATAATTATACAATTTTATTTTTTATGTAAACATAAAGTCACATGATTAATATACTCTACAACATATACTAGCTTAATTTAATAAAAACTGATAAAAAATTTTCAATGCAGGATTAGAACATGAGAGTTACTTTGTGATATCCTGGCAGTCCTCAGCTCAAAGGGTTATATGTATTCTTTCAGGGGAGCAGTGTCCACCATCTCCTGCATGGCAGAGGCAAGAAAGCATGCAGAGCTGGACTAACAGTCCTCTAGATGTTATTTTTGTTTATTTGAACGAAGTCTCCCCTATATAGTCCAGGATGGTCTGAACCCCTCCTGCCTCAGCCTCTTGGAAGCTGTGATTATAGGCAGACACCACCAGGCATGGCTTACAGCCAGAACATTAACATAAACAGTTTTTATCTTTTTTGTTTGAACAGTTATTATCTAAGTATAGCAGTGCTAGTATTTACCTATCACTATACTTTAAAAATACATAAATTGTCTAGCCAGCCTCATTTTCTACCACTTTCCTAAAGAAATAATCAGGAATTTGTGGAACAATTTATATACATAGATGTTCAGTGCTGTATTAACAGCAAATACTTAAAACAAGCTAAAGACCCTATTAACTAAACCCCAGGATGTCTTCAAGACGGAACAGTTTATTTACAGCTACTAAAAAGTCGGCCGGGCAGTGGTGGCGCACGCCTTTAATCCCAGCACTCGGGAGGCAGAGTCAGGCGGATCTCTGTGAGTTCGAGGCCAGCCTGGGCTACCAAGTGAGTTCCAGGAAAAGGCGCAAAGCTACACAGAGAAACCCTGTCTCGAAAAACCAAAAAAAAAAAAAAAAAAAAAAAAAAAAGTCAACAGACTTGGGTGGGGGCATAGCCCAGCTGGTAAAGTGTTTGCCAAGCATGCATGAAGCCTTGGGTTTGATCTAGTATCACATCATAAACTAGGATCAAGTTACATATCTGCAAACTCACCGCTTGGGAACTCAAGAGTCTGAGGTTATGCTTGGCTATGTAGTGAGCTCTAGGCTAGCCTGGTCTACACAGGGAGCTCCAGCAGGCCAGCCAAGGCTACATAAGTGAGATGCTGTCTCAAGAAAACAAAAATGAACTGTCTTAGTCCAGTGACTAAGTCCTTTGGTTAGTCATAGTCATCTTTGAGGAACTGGGACATATTTCTCAGTCGTAGATGGGAGCTGTTACTATGGCTTAGTGGGTAAGGGCCCTTGCCCACATGCCTGACAACCTGAGTTGGATCCTCAGAACCCATGTAGTAGAAGGAGAGAACTGACTCCTGCAAGTCATTTTGTTTGTTTGTTTGTTTGTTTTTTTGAGACAGTTTCTCTGTGTAACAGCCCTGGCTGTCCTGGAACTCACTCTATAGACCAGGCTGGCCTTGAACTCAAGAGATCTGCTTGCCTCTGCCTCCTGAGTGCTAGGATTAAAAGTGTGTGCCACTGTTGCCTGGCACAAGTCATTTTCTGACATCCATATACATTCTGTGGCACACTTGTGCCCTCTAGCATAATGAATGAATGAATGAGAAAATAAAGAGCAGTGCTTAACTAACAGGCACATTTAACTTTTTCAGACAGCACTACCTATTTATAATGGAAATCTGGAGGAAAGTGTTAGTTAGGTTTACTATTGCTCTGATAAACACCACAACCAGAAGCAAATTGAGGAGAAAAGGTTCATTTCAGCTTGGAACTCTCAAGTCACTCTCAAGTCACACTCCATCACTAGGGAAGTCAGGGCAGGAACTCGAGGCAGGAACTGAAGCAAAGGACATGGAATGGATACTGGATTATATCCTATGTCTTGCTCAGTCTGCTTTCTTATACCACCCAGGACCACCTGTCCAGGGGTGGTATGCCTCCATGGGGCCTGGGCCCACCCATATCAACCATCAAAAATTGTCCTACAGACTTGTCTACAAGTGATCCAATGGAGGCATTTTCTCTGTTGAGGTTCCTCTTCCCAAATAACTCTTGCCTGAGTTAAGTTGACAAAAAACAAACAAACAAACAAACAAAACCCAACCCTAACCAGTACAAAAAGAGAAGAGTAACATCTCCTATTCTCTAACCAGCATGGTGGTAGTGTGTGCTTGTAAACAGCACTTCCGTGGTAGAGGCAGGAAGATAGTTCAAAGTCATCCTCAGCTAGAGAGAGAGAGAGAGAGAGAGAGAGAGAGAGAGAGAGAGAGAGAGAGAGAGAGAGAGATCTAGGCCTGCCCAGGAAACATGAGACCCTGACTCAAAACAAACACACAGACAGACAGAAATGGTTATGATACAGAAAGAAATTCATATTTGAATCTTTACTATTCTAGATTCAAATTAAGACTGAATTAGCTAAAAGCCAGTTTCCCAAATCAAGAATTAATTCTTTGTAACAGCTTACCTAGTTCGTCGTCATCATCATCATCACTACTGTATTTTAGGCTGAAACAAATTCACATGAACCACTGGTACTTCGATTAGAAATATCACTACTGGTGCTGCCAATAAAAGCCTCTTTAAGCTGGGCATGGCAATGTATGCCTGTAATCTCAGCACTCAGAGGCAGAGGCAGGAGGATGGCTGCAGGTCTGAGGCCAGCCTGACTTACACAGAGATATACTGTCTAAAAACTCAAAATGAATCAATCAAACCAACCAGCCACCTAACAAAAACAAGACTGCCCTCTCTCTAAGCCATAAGGACAAAATTGCCCTCTCTCTAAGCCAGCAGTTCTCACCCTGTGGGGTCATGTATCAGCTATTTACAATACTATTCACACATATCAGATATTTACATTACAATTCGTAACAGTAGTAAAATTACAGTTATGAAGTAGCAACGAAATAGTCTCATGGTTGGAGTCACAACATGAGGAGCTGTATTAAAAGGTCACAGCATTGGGAAGGTTGAGAGCCACTGCTCTAAGTAAAAACAACCCCTCATCTACCTCAGCCCACTGGCTCCACGAACATTTTCATTTCCTTGACGCCTACAGGAAAACACGGAACAGCTTTCTGTAGCTAGTACAACGTATCAGTCTTAGGTAAAATTGGGGACATGGAGGTTGACTAAGACTTGCTATCTCTGGACTTTCTAAGAAAATTCTATTAACCAGCTTTCCACAAGAGAATCAAATACAAACTCTTACCATTTATCACAGGGTAAATGATTTGCACAGGGTCATTTTAAAATATGATATGCTTTCAAAGTTAAACTTTTGGCCTTCCATATATAATTAATCAGCCTTTGCTTTCCCATTTATTAGAAATAAAGTATTCACTTACTTATTTGTTTGCTTGTTTTTCAAGACAGGGTTTCTCTGTGCAACAGTCCTGGCTGTCCTGGAACTGACTCTGTAGACCAGGCTGGCCTCAAACTCACAGAGATCTGCCTGACTCTGCTGGGATTAAAGGAGTGCACCACCACCTCTGCCTTACTTATTTGTTTTTTACATACAAACTAGCCATAGTTAATGTAACCGCAGTTCCTGAATGTTAGGATTACAAGTGCGCCTCATCACACTCAGCCCAATTCTGTCTTAAGATAGAACTGGTCTGGCCTGGTGGTGGCGCATGCCTTTAATCCTAGTACTGGGGGTGGGGTGTGGAAGGGGTGGCAGAGGCAGGCGGATTGTTGTGAGATCTCTGTGAGTTCGAGGCCAGCCTGGTCTACAGAGTGAATTCCAGGACAGCCAGGGCTACACAGAGAAACCCACTGGCCACTGCTATTCACTATTATACTGACTGGCATTAAATGATCCCAGGTTAAAGAATGAAATGGTGCCAGGTGGTGGTGGCGCACGCCTTTAATCCCAGCACTCGGGAGGCAGAGCCAGGCGGATCTCTGTGAGTTTGAGGCCAGCCTGGGCTACCAAGTGAGTTCCAGGAAAGGCACAAAGCTACACAGAGAAACCCTGTCTTGAAAAACCAAAAAAAAAAAAAAAAAAAAAAAAAAAAGAAGAATGAAATGGTTTAAACTCTCTAAGAACAGTGTATAGTAAATAGCTAATAAACATAAATATACCTTCTTAGCATTTGTTTCACAAAGCCCCAGGCAAATACTTGTGTTGTTTATATTTCCACACCTAAAATGGAGAACAGTGACATACAAATCAGACACTATCAGCTCAAGTATATTAGTGATACAGTGAAAACAGTTCTTAGTAAACTGCCGTTCCTAACTGGAAGTTCCTTTTCATATAGACCATTAATAGTACCTCAAAGAAAATTCATCAGTTTATGTTCAATTAGATTCAAATTTCTTTTACTATTCGCTGCAATAGTAAGCTAAATTTGACAGTGAGATGAAGAAATGTATACCCTGTGATAATTCCACTTTGAATATTTGAAGAATGCCAAAAAACTTACATTTCACTCAAATATGATGGAATCTGAGTACTTTAAGAGTTGCACTATCAACATGACCAAAGTAAACAGTGTATTCACTATGTACCAACATAAAACCATGTAATCAATTGAGAAAAACCTCAAGAGTTAATAAAAGAAAACCCACTCACTTTTAAGCTTTTGTTATGTATATTTATATAGAATCTTTATATAAATCTATAAAATAATTTAATATATATTGCTATTTCTTCTGCTTTATTGAATCTTATAGAGTTAATGTCTACATAACCACTAATGCAGCACAATCTACCCCTTCCCCGGCCCCTGTGTGTGTGTAGGAGATGGAGAAGAATGCTTAAGAGAAACTACCAGGATTTAGAGCTGTGCACAGAACAGCAACTGTATTTAAATACTACTGGTTGCTTCTGGTTTCTAATCCAGTCATCCATAACAAGAACTTACTTGTAAATTCTTAAGTTTATGCAGATTTGATATCAAAACCAAATATAAATAACCAACTTAAAAAAATACAGAATCACATCTTTATATTCAGACTACCCTGTGATTAGGACACGAACACTATCTTGTGTATTTCCTTATTTTCATTAGGCAGTCTAACTCGTGTGTACACTTGATAAAGAACACTACATCTCGGTCAAGTTGGGGGCTTGTTAGTCCTACCTACCTGAGTATTCTTTACCAGTAGTTAGTAAGGCCCAAGGCCAATGGAAGAGACTGCCAACTGTGTCTGACACCTAGCAAATTCTAGTTTCAAATTCAACTTTAGATACTGTAGGGTTGGCCAGCACTAGAAGCAGACAAAACTCCAACACTAATATGGATCCACATCCTCAGCATTTCTCTAGCAGAACTCAAGCACAAATTGGAACAGATTTCCAATGATTTGTTTGATGAAGAATTATACCATCTGAGTAGAAAACAGCCCATTCAGCATTTTCTGTAGGACTTTACTTTAAGCTTTCTTCTTTTTTTAAATTGATATTTTGTTGTTTTTTGAGACCTCCATGTAGCCCTGGCTGGCTTGGAACTCACTATGTAGACTAGGCTGGCCTAAAATTTACAGAGATCTGCCTGCCTCTGGGATTAAAGGTGCCACAATGCCCAGCTAGGTAATCCTGAAGATCTGAATATGTCAAGGACAAGGGACAGGGTGTATACGGTGTGATTTACAGTGTGGCAACATAACAAGCTTTGTTTTCCTTTAAAAGAATCCTCTACAAAGACATTACAGGCAGACAGTATGGAGCAACTAAGGCCTTCCAAAGACCAGAGAACAAGAAACCTGTCGCCTACTGCTAGTATAGTCCCTACAACTTGCCAGCCATCCCTGCCATCCATGTTCCACATCACATTTCCTCAAACTGAACCTCGGCTAAAGCAGAAACAAGAAAGGGTGATTGAAAAGAGTTATCTTTAAAGGTCTAATGGTAATGTAAAAGGATGTCATCAAATGCTTCCAACAGACTAAATCCTTTACAAAGTACTACGCTAAACCAAACAGGCTTTTACGTATTTATATCAATTTCACAAGCCTATATAAAACTTACATAAAACTATAGATTTTACAAATACACATACATTTCGGGTGTTCTCACTGTCTAAAAAGCTTTCCCTAACTTACGCGCCTTACTAGACCTGACATGGAAACAATGTCATTTTGTCAGTCACCCCCTCCAATACTTATTGCATTTCGATTTAAAAGTGAAAGGCCTAGCAAAGCAAGAGAGTTAACACTTGTAATCCCAGCACTCCAGAAGCTGAGGCAGGAGGATCACTGTGAGTTAGAGGCTATTATGAATTACATTGCAGGTACCAAGCCAGGTAAGGCTACAAAACAAGATCCTGTGGGGGAGGGGGAGGCAGGGAGAAACAGAATTTTGACAGTTACTTTTCTTGCTACCAAAATCAGTTTTGGCTTATTACAGCTATACCAGCTGTGGTGTTAACTTTGATCCTAAATCACCTTTTAATATCAAGTACACTCGGAAGTCAATGATTTTTATTTAACTTAGTACTGCACAAATTATAGAGACCCAATCTAATCTAACTAATCTAATCTTTCTAATCTAATCACTTGGTTTTGAGACTGGGGTCTCCTTGTGTATTGCAGGTTTGGCACCAATTCTAGATTCCCCTGCTGGGGTTCCAGGCAAGACCTCCTCCACTCTGTAATGCCTGAGTTCTCTCATTTTATTTAGTTTCAATGTTTCATCTAAGATGATCAGCCAACTAGCGAGAACTCAGTGGCTACATTTTAGAAGGCCAGAACTTAATCCTCGGTCTCAAAGGGGAGTAGGGAGGGTGCACTGGAGGAATTACAACTCTTGAAGTTAATTAGCTATTCTGTTATTGCCCCCATCCCCAAGGTCTATGTTGTCCAGGCTGGTCTTGAACTCCTGGGTCTATGAGCAGTCCTCTTGCCCCAGCATCTCAAATAACTGGACTACCCACAGGGGACTCAATTGGTTGGGCTTCCAGGGGTTTTATAGCATGAAGAACAGAGACAACGTTACAACATCCAACTGTCTCTGTTGCAGGCACAGCAGAAATGAAAGCATATTTTCTGTATGAAGGCTTGTGAGAGCATTTGATTGACATTTTTCACTACAGAGTCCATATCTATGTATTTGATGAAAGAGTTGTCTATAATTTTCAAGGTAAGAGTAAAGTTCATACAAGAATAAATGCTGCAATATATTTACTAAGTATTTATTTTTGAAAGGTTTGACCTTTGAATCTTAACGAAATGGCAGGAAAACAAGGAAGTTAAAAAGCACACTGAAAAACCATTTAAGGTTTTAGCAACTTGGACAAAGGCCAGTGAAGTTTAAGATAGAACTGATAACTCTTTGAATATTATTTTCTTCTTCCTGTTTAGAGACTAAATCGCAGGCTTTGTCTGAAGAAACACGACTTACCAGATGGTAGCTTTTATTAAAGTATAGTGGATAGCATTTGCATATATTAAGGTCTATTAAACAAATACCCTTAGTACACTAGTGATTATGTGTTCTGATCAGACAGCTGCTTATTCTGATACAATCATCACTAGAATTTTTAACATTAAGCGGAGCTGGAGCAGGTTCAGCAGGTTTGGTTCTGTGCAACCACAAGGCAGATGACAACCTGAGCCATCTGTAACTCCACTTCCAGGAGATCTGACGCCCTCCTCCGGCCTTCTTTGGCACTGAACGCAAGTGATGATACAAGAGGGCAAAATACCCATACACGGAATAAAAACATCTTTAAAAAAATCTATTAAGAATGTATAGCCAGTAAGACCTGCTTCACTGGAGAACTTCACTTTTTTCTGCTATAAAAAAATGACAAAACCTGAGACCCCCATAAGCTTAAGGGCTTGGGAAGACAATCTTTAATATCCTCTGGCTGAAAATGACTGGTCTTTCAGTGATATTAATTTAGTTTTCCAAGATACGCCTTCAACTCACTTCTCAGAAACTTCTGAGTTACCTGGAAGATTAACACACGAAAGTGTGTGTGCTGAAAAATCCCCAAACAGGAAAAACTAAGAAAGCGCACTAAAAAACAAAACTAACTTTTAGGCAAATAACTTCACATAATCTTTTTTTTTTAAAGGTAAAAGCCATCTTTTAAACTTTAAGTGGCAAAGGATAGATTTTAAATCCTAATAAAAGAAAACCAAAACGAAAGTCCAAACCCTTGTCAACCAACCACCTGGTGGACTTGCCGGGTGTCAGCTGCAAACAACTAGCACGCCAAAAACGAATCATTAAAATCCGCTAGCGCTGACACACTTAGGCTTCCCCAAAAGGGACCTTGTGGTTCACCCTCCGCTATCAAAGCCTGCGCAGAGCCGGCAAGGGCAGGTTGGCAGCAGCGCGCTTCTCTGCGCTGTTGTCACTCTGTGCCCGAAGCCCATCCGCTCCGGCTTCGCCTACGCCTCCGCGGGGCACGCCCCCCACCATGGTCCCCCCTCCCGCGGCGCCCGCGTCCTCCAGGTCACCTTCAAGCGAGGGCGGGACTGCGCGGCGCGGGCCACCCAGACACCAGCCCCCGCCAATAAAAACTCGGAACTCGGCGGCCGGGTCCCGCCTGCGGCGCCCAATCGTAGCCGCCCGAACTGTCTTCGCCTCCCGTGTCCGGGACTTGGGGGGCGGGGAACATTGGGAACTAAATTAAGAAGGTCGGGCGGGGGCTCCCCCGGGACGGCCGGCGGCTGCGCTCCCGGTAAACAAAGGCTCAGCGGGGGCGGGTAACGGTCAGGTGACCACGCCTAGCAGGTTTCGCAACCCCGCGGCGGGCGGCCGTGGCCCCAGCACCCCGATCGCGTCCGCGCTCGGCGACAGCACCCACGGTCGCCCTCACCCCCACGGAAACGCCAGATCCGAGGCCGTAGCACTCCGGGCGCTTCCGCCCGAAGCGCATCGCCGCCGCAGGGCTCGTCCCCGCCCGGTCCCCACGCCCGAGGCCGCGCCGGGCTTCTGGCTGCCGGGGCCCTCGTCTCCCTCCCGCAGGTGCCGGTGGTCAGCGCCGCGGCCGCGGGCTGCCTGGAGCGGCCACCCCGGTACCTCTCGGCGCAGGCTGGAAGAGGCGACCCCACGGTCTCTGCTGCGCCGGCGTCTCCTGGAGCCACCAGGCTCTGCCACTGCTCACAACAAAGAAAACATGTGACCGTTGGGCCAAAACACTCGGCGTCACCCATCCTTGGCCAATGGGGGGAGAGGCATCCCCTTCCCGGAGCACCCTGGGAAATGTAGTTCTTACTCCCGGTGGGCTCCCGGGCCACCTGGGTTCCGCTAGAGGGAGAAACCCATGCCTGGCTGCTAATTTGAAATATTTATTTAAGGTAGAATCAGGTTAAAGGAATTCGTCTTGAGCGAGGCCCGAGTGGTATGCTAATTGTCTTCAAAGAGCCCTCTACCTCCCAAAGCCAAAGCACAAGACCAGGACTTAGCTGACCTTAGTGCTTGGACTAAGGCTTGTTTAACACTTTCTAAGACACTTGGGATATCTGAGGGCCAGAGAGTTGGAGTGTACTGCCATCAGCGAAGAGGATACTGTCTTTCCTTTGTAAATCCGTTAAGGTCGCTTGTATCATTCCCTTCGCTGCCTTTTTGTTTTAATAAGACGCAGGAGTCGAACAAAAGTTGTAATTTTCCAAGGCACAAAGGACTTTCAAGACCTTGTTTTGTTCCTATCTTGAAACCGTTTGGTTGGTTCTGGTTTCTGATGATCATAGTTGTCATGTACTTCTCTCTTCTGCGCTTCGCTAATACAGCATACCTCCATTAAAGGGAAGGAAATGTGTTGCCTCCACAAGGTGGAGATAATGAGGGGGGTTGAGGTCCAGGGCATCAAATAGGCTTTGAGATCTCTTTTTCATCTCCCGTTAACCTTAAAAAAAGAAAAGAAAGAAAGAAAAGAAAAGAAAAGCCTATTCATTGAGTACTTCCTGTGGGAGGGAAACATCTCTTTGACTCCTCTATGGCTGATAGGCAGGCCTGCGATAAAACTGCTTGCCACTCTGGCTTGACCAGTTGTCGCTATCAGCTTTGAGAATCCTTACCTTTGGTTGCGTTTGTCAGGACAAGGATATTCATTTTCATATTCTTTTCCCTCTCTCCTCTCCTGTCTCCCCCCTCCCAAGTTCACTTAAACAAGACACTTAAGTTCAAGGAAAACTATCTAGGATTCATTTTTTAAATGATTTTTTTTTATTACTTTTTGTTCTTTGTATGTGCGTGTCTGTATTGGGTCTATGCATCTGAGCGCAGGGCTGGTGGGTCCCCCTGGAGCTTCAGTTTGAGCTAGCTGCCTGATGTGGGTGCTGGGAGCAGTAAGCACTCTTAGCCACTGAGTCATATCTCTAGCTCTATTTATTTAAATTCGATTTTTAAGGGTTGTATTTATTTATTTTTGGCTTTTTCAAGACAAGGTTTCTCTGTGTAACAGCTCTAACTGTCCTGGAACTCACGCTGTAGACCAGGCTGGCCACGAACTCACAGAGATCCACTTGTTTCTGCCTCCCAAGTGCTGGGACTGAAGGTGTACACCACCACTGACTTTTAAAGGTTTTATTTTCTGTGTTTTAGAGTTTTGCCTGCATTTGAGCATGCATGCATTGCCCATGGAGGCCAGAAGAGGGCATCAGATTATCCAGAACTGGAGTTACAGAGGGTTGTGAACCACCATGGGTGGGTGCTGGAACCCTAACCTTCTTCCTCTGGAAAAGCCAGTGTTCCTAACAATGGAGCCATCTCTCCAGCTCCTTTATTTAGTTTTCAAAACAGGGTCTTGATGCTTCTCAGGCTGACCTCCACTATTGCTGGATTTTTTTAGAGAGGGGGATTTGAGAGAGGGAGATGCTGAGGCCAGTCGTTTTTCAGGCAACCAATTTACTAATGCTGCAGGAACCATAGTAAGAAGCGTTGGTTCCACGCCAAGTAAGAAGCAAGGTGTCTACTCTTAAAGGTTTCTCAGGGAAGGGAGATCTTGTGTTGTGAGGAAGCAGGTTTAGTTAATATGTGACCTGTGCTATGTGAACAAGGCAGAAGAACAGGGCTTATGCGACTTAGACTACATAAGGTCTTGAGGTCACTCTTTCTCTGGGTAGCGGGTAGAGCTTGGTTAGTATGTGACCCATGAAATGAGCCAGTGCTCAGATAGAAGATGGGGGTGGGCTGCATGTGTTCTGCCTTTATTGCAGCTTAGAAGGCATGGGTTCTCTAATGGCCGTGTAGCTGAGGACAACATGGAACTTCTGACCTTTCCGCCTCCACCTCCCCTGTACTAGGATTGTGGGTATATGCCACCATGCCCAGCTTATGTAGTGCTGCAGAGGGAACCAGGGTCCTGTATGTTAGTGAAATGTACATTGTATTGGTAAATCGTTGTGTGCTGTTTGAGCTTACTAAGAAGCTGGCTTGGAAGTGATGCTCCTTTCCTCCCAACTCAGACCCAGTCATGTTCGTCTTAAAGTGTCCTCCAAGGCCACTTGCCTGGGGATGAGGGAGGGAAGAGGACAGTAAAACAGCCCATGAGTAAAACATAAAAAAACAGGCCCTTGAAAACAGGTAGAATCATCTCTAAGAGAGGCTACATGGGGAAAAAGCTGTAGCTGGAGTTTTCTTCAGTCCTGTCTGGCCTGTGGTCAGGACAAATCTCTCTTACCTGCCAGTTCCACAGCCGCTCAGACTCAACCGAGTAAACACACAGAGACTTACATTGCTTACAAACTGTATGGCCATGGCAGGCTTCTTGCTCTCTAATTCTTCTATCTTAAATTAACCCATGTGTTGCTAGAGTTTTCCTGCCTGGCCCACAGTCAGGACAAATCTCTCTCACCCGCCAGTCCCAAGCCGCTTAAACCCGATCAAATAAACACAGAGACTTATATTGGTTTCAAACTGTATGGCCGTGGCAGGCTTCTTGCTAACTGTTCTTACAGCTTAAATTAATCCATTTCTATTAATCTATACCTTGCCACGTGGCTTGTGGCTTACCGGTACTTTACATCTTCCTTATCCTGATGGCGGCTGGCAGTCTCCCTCTCCAGCTTCCTGTTCTCTCAATTTTCCTGTTAGTCCTGCCTAAACTTCCTGCCTGGCCACTGCCAATCAGTGATTTATTCATTGACCAATCAGCAACACATTTGACATACAGACCATCCCACAGCACCTCCCCTTTTCTTTTCTTAAAAAGGAAGGTTTTAACTTTTACACATCTCCAAAGTCAGCTTGGTATATTTGGGAATTTGGGCGTAGCTTCTCTTACTACTTCCTGCTGGAGGGGGGCGCTGTATCTTCTGGGGAAACAAAGAAAATTTTAGGATCATGGAGTAGTCCGTGAGGCTGTATCATCTGAGCCAGTTGTCTTGAAACGGTTCTGGATGTTGGATCATCTGGGCCATGGTGTCATCGGAGACCTTTCAGGGGGTCTTGGCTGGTCAAACCTGATGTATCTTACTCTGGAACAAATCCATAGTCTCTTGCTTTCTGTGGAAACAAAAGAGACTCTTTTCCAAAGCAACATATCCTTACATCCAAATTTTGAAGTCAAAGTATCTTTAAAATATACGTACTGGTTTAACTCAGCTTCCTTTACAATCAAACATCTCTCTGTAGTTAAGAATCCCAAAGACAACACAATCCAGACTCTCTGTGTAATAGTCATCTCTACGTGGCTTATTTTTTATATTAATTTTACTGTCTCTTTAAAGACTTTATTTTTTAAAACCATGTATTTGTTTCTATACTGTATATATCACCTTTTTTTGTCTCTTTCAAGCCTACGTATATTTTACACACATTTTAAACTATTACATCTGAATCTGTCTTATTGTGAATCTATTGCTTTAAGCTGCAGCAGCTGTGGCTGCTGGCTCTGCCCACCGCAGCTTTCCAACATGGCGTGGTACTTTACCACCAGCTCTGGGAGCTATCGTGGGTCTATGCTTTTATCCAAGCAGCGTGTAGCCCAGAAACCTCTTTTTTTTGTTTTGTACTAGCAAAGGCTAAATCCACAATGTAGCTTAATGTGCCACTTGCAGAGGCCTCATTCCCGCCATACTGCAGGTCGAGCACGCACGCACGCCAGCAACCCGCCAGTAGCTCAAACCGGCAGCTGCCGCTCATTTGAGAGAGACAATTAGGAAGCTGTTTTTCGCTCCGTTTTAGAATCTCTTTTCTCAGGTTTTAGGTGGAAACTCTTGCCCCACGTTGGGCGCCATTTGTTGCTAGAGTTTTCCTGCCTGGCCCACAGTCAGGACAAATCTCTCTCACCCGCCAGTCCCACAGCCGCTTAAACCCGATCAAATAAACACAGAGACTTATATTGGTTTCAAACTGTATGGCCGTGGCAGGCTTCTTGCTAACTGTTCTTACAGCTTAAATTAATCCATTTCTATTAATCTATACCTTGCCACGTGGCTTGTGGCTTACCGGTACTTTACATCTTCCTTATCCTGATGGCGGCTGGCAGTCTCCCTCTCCAGCTTCCTGTTCTCTCAATTTTCCTGTTAGTCCTGCCTAAACTTCCTGCCTGGCCACTGCCAATCAGTGATTTATTCATTGACCAATCAGCAACACATTTGACATACAGACCATCCCACAGCACCCATGTCTATTAATCTATAAGTTGCCACATGGCTCGTGGCCTTCCGGTACCTTACATGTTGCTTGTCATGGCGGCAGCTGGCAGCGTCTCTTTGCCTCAGCCTTCCATTTCCCTGAATTCTCTTCTCTGCTTGTCCCGCCTATACTTCCTGCCTGGCTACTGGCCAATCAGTGTTTTATGAATAACCAATCAGAGCAACACATTTGACATACAGAACATCCCACAGCAAAAAGCAGTTGAAAGTTCAGCCATAGGAAGCTCATTCATGGAGAGAAAACTCAAGCAGGAACTCCAGCTGACTCCCTCCACTTCCCTAGTTAGTGTCTACCGGATGTTGTGAGTGCCCACTTTGATGATGTTATCTCTATCTGCTGCTCTTTGTTCTTATTTTGCAAAATGTTTATGTATGTTTTTATGTATATGGGTGTTTTGTCTGCACATATGTGT